ACCGTTGTGGATTATATGACTTTTTCCAATGGATTACAGACTCTGTTCCCAAGGGGTTAAAGCATTGCTACAATGGAATTACCAACAACATTATGGAATTATCATCAACACAATGGAATTACCAAGAACATTGTGGAATTACCTTGACTTTGTTTTCCTTGCTGGATTACTTCTGACTTTGGTCTTCCTTGCTGGATTACTTTTGACTTTGGTCTTCCTTGCTGGATTACATCAAGCTCAAGGACATTTGAAGGCGTAAGTTCACGGTTGGAATTCATCCCCATGGACAGGCGATGATTTCCAAAGGGGGGACTGTAGTGAACTTGACCTGATGTCAAATCTGACCAGATGGACAGAAACTGTTATTTCATTGATCTGCATCCAGAAATACAGTTTGACCCATCCTGAGACTTTCTTTCTTGAATTAATCAAGTAGAAATGACAATTCTCTATGATCATTACTATTTTACAAATGTTTTGATAATCAAATTGTGTTAGTTCAAACAATGTTTACAGGTTGAAGAGAACTACTCATTTTTATTTACATAAACAGTAAGTAATGATTTTTATTCCTCATTCAAAGAAGAAATCAGGGTAATATGCATTTCTTGATTTTTCTGTCTTCAATGAGCAAGTTTGTAAGTGTGTGTCAAAGTTCAGGCTTCGGTCAACTAAAAAGTTTACTGAAAAGAAATGTCATGTTTAACTTTTACAGCAGATACTAGGAGGAGAGACTCCACGAAGTCTGAAGTTCTCCAACAATCTTTCTGTCTGTTTTAAACAAACTTAATCTCTGTCCTTGACTTTGATAACACCTTACATCACAAACCACACCTCTGTTCTGGTCCATCGACCAATCAAAAAGCTCTCAAATGACCCGGAAGTCGAACCCATTTAAATGTGGCGACTTCCCAGTTCAACGGGGGAGTTTTTCAGAGCTTGAAAGTTTTTCCTGGAGAAGAGTTCCAGACTTTAACTCTCTGAAGAGAGTTAAAGAGTTCAGAGTTCTTGGATGCTAACGCAGGCGTCCAGGATGCTTCTATTGGAATCCAGAATCCAGAGACGATTTTGGGAATTATAACTTCTGTTTGGATAACCTCACACGACTCCTAAAAGTATTTTAGCTGTTCTCAACGGAGACGCTGAAAGAGTCAAAAGAAGGACTTCACGCCGACCTGATCTATCATCAACCAGGTAAAAGTTCTATTTCGACCAAGCGTACCGTGGCCAAGCTGAGATCTGAAGGAGCGTGCACGTTCTGGTCAAACAGATAAATTCCCTCACACATCTCTCTGTAAGATAAATCTCCATTTTCCATCTTAAACTCTCCTTTCTCCTAAAATCATTACAGATAATTTAGAAATGTCTGAAGCAAAGTTTCTCAATCACCGCCGTGTGATTGATGTCTGCTGTTCTGCTGAAAAGTGAGGACAATCGCCGTATTGTTCCCACTTCCTGTGAAACTAGCCATGTTATTGTTTTCATATTTTGCCAAATTAATGTAAATGTTTGATGTTAAACTTTGATTCTGCAAATAAATGACCGCATTCATTTTGATGGGTCAAAGATAAATAACGTCTCTCGTTACATTTCTGTTAAATTCAATGCACGACATTTACACAGTCAGAAAAATGAAGAACCCGTGAAATGTATGAATATATCCAGCATATGTCATACTACATATATATATATATATTTTTTTTTTTAATTAAAAGTGATTTGATTTATTTGATTTGTTGTATCTATGCTTGTTGTTTTCTTGTGTATGTACAGTACAGTTCATTTTAGTCTGTTCTCAGCAAAAAAAGTATAATATGAGTAAGCGTCCTTTAAAAAGGGGGTCGATCAGCCTTTTGGTCCATGGACGGCCCAAAAGGCTGATCCAAGTTCTGCAAACTTGTCCAGCTGTCAGTTGCTACAACAGTTTCATATAAGGTTTGATAAAGCTGATCAACTTGTATGTGGGGGGAAGAGATTGGGTAGAGGCAGGGCAGCCGACTCGGGATCGGAAAGTCCCAGGTTCGATCCCCAGCCATTCCCACATGTCATGGTGTCTCTGAGCAAGACACCCAATCCCCAATTGCTCCCCGGGCGCTTGCATAGCTTCCCACTGCTCCACCTGAGTGTATCCCAGGTGTGATGGGTTAAATGCAGAGAGCTAATTTCATCTTTGATGGGAACAGACAGTGATGACAACACATAGCACTTTATTATTATTAGATAATACCACATTATATGCTGGTGAAGATTCTCAGTCATCCAGGACATGATGAATTCAAAAAGCGTTCAATACAAAAA